CAGACTGTTTGCTGAATAAAAAAACTAAATTTTATCTTTATTTTTATTCTGCCCTCCTCCGATGATCTTTAGAAGAATAAGTACGCGAAACAAGGTATAAAGGAAGTCTCGCTACTGATGAAATAATATCCATGTAACATAACAATGTTTAGGATTACTGTGTGGATCTAAGCACTACATTGTTACTTTATTGTTCGTAAAACCCAATCTGTTTAGCTTCTATAAATATATATTGAATCATAGGATGATACTCTTATTAATAGTACTCAACACATCCTTAATAAAATCATATTTAAGACAATCAAAGTGTTTAATACTGTAAAACCAGCTAAACTTTCATGTGCAAAAAAATTTCACAAATACTGTACCATACAGAATTTATTAATATCGTATGTTAATGAGGATTGTAATTATCATGTAATTATTAGCTGTGTCTGGCCAGTTAAACCCTAGCAGATAGGCAGGTTTATGCCTGGGCTTTTCTAGCCTAGAACTCATGATACGATATTGTCATCATAGATGATCTATTATGTATGGTGTTCATCTCATGAATAAATTTAGGTGTTAAGGCACATAGAAAGAATTATTAGAATAATACTCCTTTAAAAAAAATGTGATGAGGGTTGGTTTTTTTTATAACCGCATCAATATTTCCAAATAGTTAATGTGCGCAGGAGTGATAATCTAACAATTTTTTTCATATGCGCCCCTATCAATTTGCAGTTTCATGTCACAAAAGTTTCTTGTTTTACATTAGTTGTAATGCTGTAATTTAACCACTTTTAAATTTTTTGTGCACTAAGCCTCTTAGTTTTTACAGCCAGGCTGAAGACTGAGTGGTTAATTCTAGGCAAATAATATGTGTTGCATTTATCTGTGATGCAATTGTGGAAGTGCTTAGCAATTAGCGTAAAACATGTCACATTTTGTGATGCGATACTGGGTAAATCGAACGCTGAAGCCCAGTAAAAATACTTTATCGTAATTAAAATTAGATCTTCTTATTCACATTCACTTCACACTTCTAATGTATAATAAATGTAATAATTTGTCATAATTGTGCTGTGATGATTGTGCGTAATCCCAAAGTTGTTAGGAGACATGTCACTTATATCAATAGTTCAGACTTAAAGTGAATTTGCACAAAAACCAAAGTCAATGAAAACACTAATTTTCAAAATTTTATTTGTGTTGCATGTCTTTTTTTTCATTTGATAAATCTAAGTGAGTAAATCTAAAATGCTATTATTTTTAGACCTGTCTTCTTTTTTTTCTCAGGGCCAGTTTGCAGAATTCTGAAATGCGACGATGCAACTAGATGTGAAAAAAAGGAAGCGATTGAATACTTTCTTAATAACCTTTGTGAAAAGTATGAGGGAAAAAGGCATTTGTACTTCTGTTACTATGATTCATGGTGAAACTATTGACGATTCTTATTGATACACTCTTGCATGGACCCTATCAATTTGAGGATATTCATAATCTGTAAAAACGTTAAATATGTGATATTCCCAATGCGATCAAAATGATGGAATATTCTTACTTTCCAAGGAGCTGGAGAAATTGAATTGTATACTG